TCTGAAAGCTTGCTCGTTGGTAACCTAACCCGAACCACCCACCCGGTTTCTGAACGTTGAAATTTCGTTACGAAATTTCGACAAAAGTACCACGGTGTGGAAATCTTAATTGGGCAAATTAGCGGATCGGGCGTGGAGAGAAGTGTGTGTATAGAGTTCGTTTACTGTAAACGCATCGACGATCACCGACGGTCACCATCGGTTGTTCCCTCTCGCTCGATTGTTATTGTTTCGTGACCGTGTAGTTTCAAGTAACAGGACGAACGTCACTGACAATGGTCGTTTTATTAGAAAGTTTGGAGGCAGAGAAGCGGCTGATCATTATGCAGCTCGCGTTGTCATATTCCATTACCGTGGCTGCCGGTTACAGATGCAGCCGCGCCGCGGTTAGTTCGAAGAACAATTCACAACGCGATATAGAAACCGGCATCACCCTTCAACCATGCTTGCAGATGACATCGATACTCGACTTCCGCCCGCCGTTCTCTGCTTGCCGTTTGTAGCCTCTTCGTTTCCCTTGCACGCAGGATTCACCATCGAGCAAACTTTACCCGGTTTCGACGACGACGACGAGGACTACGGAGAAACGGATGATGCGCTTAACGCGACCAATGAAACGCGCCTTGATTTCTCGAAACGCTGCCTTTCGGGATAGTCTATGGATCGAGTTTGCCACGAGTATCGTACAACTTAGCGAATATACCATCGGTCTTTTAACCCTTTGCGTATGGAATCGCGTAGACTCCGTCGAGAGTGAACCGATAAAGCGAATGGAAATTGGTTAGCGAGGAAATTACGGGGTGTTTCTTTGTAGGTATTTGTGTCGGTTGATTTCAGTGATGTGAGAAGTTTGGTAGAGAATTGTGAAAGTTATTCGCTTCTTTTTTGAAACTGAAACTGAAATTTTTAAATAGTGCACGAATTTGAATATTTTCGAAATTTCGGGAGAAATTTTATTATATTACTTACTTATTTTTGTATGAGAAAATTTGGCTCCCGGATTTGACAATAAGTTACGTTTCATTTTGTGCACCTTTACTTAATAGATTATCGACTTCCATAAAGTATATTTTTTATATTATACTTTCATGAAAAATT